TTGACCTGTCTTCTTTCTAGTTTTTTTAAACTGTGAGGGCTTCCCTGATAGCTCAGTTGGTAAAGAATCTGCCTCCAATGCAGGAAACCCCGGTTTGATTCCTGGATCAGGAAGATCCCCTGGAGAAGGGATAGGCTACCCACTTCAGTAGTCTTGAGCTCCCTTTGTGGCTCAACTTTGATCCCCGGATTGGGAAGATCCCCTGGAGAGAAATCCATACATGTGTTTTATAGACTTGTCTATATGCATGGCACCAGGTATGTATTTTTTTTAATAAAATAGGAGCTTCCCAAGTGGTCCAGTGATTAAGACTCCGGGCTTCCACTTCAGGGGGCACAGGATCAATCCTTGGTCAGGGAAGTAAGATCCCACTTGCTGCACAGCATAGCCAATAAAATAAAATAAGCAGGAGAAGAGAAAAGCATGAGCTTTGAAGTTTGGCACACCCGTGAGACTCCTCTTTGCCATCTTTCATTGTGCAGCCCGGGAAAGGGTTGAACCCCCAGCCTCAGTTTGACCTCATTTATCAGATGAAGAGGGAGTGACCAGTCCCCAGCTGGGCTGGTAGTTCTCACGAGGCCAGCCCTAGGAAGGCTGTTCCCCTGACCCCCGGGTCTCAGGCACCTTGATGGTCTCCGGGCTCACGTGGCTGTGGGTCTCCTTGAGGCGGGAGATGGAGCTGTGGCTCAGGCCCCCAACCACTGCCATCAGCGTGTTGAAATTCTGCAGCTGCAGGAGTTTCTGGGGGATAAATGGGGAGAGAGGAGGCAGTGAGTCACTGAGAGGGCCCAGAATTTGGCCCAGCTTTTCTGGAGAAGATCTGGCAGTGGGTTAGGGGAAAGGAGGGACTCGGCCCTACAGGGGCGACTGGGGGAGTTGAGGGCCGGGGGAGGGGCGGACACCTCTGCCACGTGGACGAAGTGTGTGATGACCACTGCCCGTTGCGGGGCTGTGGGCTTGCTGAGAATCATCAGCTGCACCCACTGCGAGACACTGTTGAAGAGGGAGATGAATCGCTCCAGGACCGGGTTGTCCACTGTGCAGCCATGAGTCACGAAACTGTGATAGTCCTGGAACTGGGGGCGCAGGAGCTTCAGTACCCAGTGCCCCCCCTCACCGATGGCTGTCCCTCCCCCTCCAGCTGTCCTTTGGTAGTTATCCTGTGGCCCCAGGTCCCGCCCTGCGACCCCGTCCCTCCTGGCACCCCCTCCCCAGCCCACACCGGACTCCTGACTGAAAGCCCCCGCACCAGAATCTTGCAGAAGGAGCGATATTCCAAGTAGGTGAGATGTGCCGCCAGCTCCAGGGGCTCCAGGTGGTCAAACAGCAGGGACATCTTGCGCTTCTTCTGTTCCACGGGGTTCCGCTGGGTCACCTGCCGCTTCCACTTGTAGGTGGGGCTGGGGGGTGGGTGGGACAGGGGCAGTAAGTCCTTTGCCGGAGATGCCTCACCCCTCATTGCCCCACACTCAACGCCACTCAAGTTCACGGCGAGACACTGGGCAGGACATCAATGTCCCCCATCCGAGCAAAAACGTCCTGCCATCTCCCCCCGTCGCCATGCCCTCCACACAGATTTATGGAAGACCTAACTCTGTGCCAGGCACCAGGCACTGGGGTTACAGAGATGAGCAAGACACAGTTCCTGCCTGTGAGGAGCTCAGAGTCTACTGGGGGAGACAGACGCAGAAACAAACACAACACAGCGTGGCGCGGGTGCAGAGGCCCAAAGGCTGCAGGAGGAGGCGCCTGGTGGGGGCAGGGGGCTGTGGAAGATGCAGCGGGAATGCCAAGCTGGCCTGAGACTAAGAAAGGCCTTAATCCCCAGCCGAGGCATTCTGAAGAAGATAGGAGGAGCCACAGGAAGTTTTTCAGCAAGAGTAACACGACCCTCACACCACTGCGATCAACGAACGTTTATTAAGCGCAAATGGTGCAGGATGCTGAGCGCCCCTCCCAGCCCTGCGAGCACCCCCCACCCCACGCACACGTTCTCAATGTCGATGAGGCTGCTGTGTCGGCGATTCCCTTCCTGGTCTAACAGAGCCTTCAGCTCCTTGATCTGCTCAGCAAGCTCAGGATTCAAGTCAAACTCAGCTGGGAATGCTGAGATCCAGTACCTGGTGGAGGTTCAGAGTCACCCAGGGGCAGGCCTTCCCCCACCTCCCCTAGGATGGACATTCTCCCAAAGAGGGGGAGAGGGCCTCAAACTGTGATCCCCCTCACCCAGCTCTTTCCTTCCCCAACCCCATTGGGCAGATCAGAAAACAGGGACCGGGCAGAGCCAGGAAGGGGCAAGCCTGCGGCAGCACACCCACCATGGACAGAGCCCAGGTTCAAACCCACATGACCAGCTCCCAGAACCTGCTATTTCTACTCCTTCAGGCCAATCAGAAGCCTAAGGGAAGGGAGCAGAGGAGGGGCCAGAGCCCCAGGAGGAAGACTCACCTGACCAGATGGCATGTTTTCACCTGCAGCGAGCTGGAGTTGTCCTTCCGGGATTGTTGGTAGGTGAAGGAGAGTTAAGGAAAACAAGGATGGAGGCTTATTCTAGAAAAGGAGGCAGGGGATGGGACCTGAGCTCCCTGGGGAGGCAGAGGGCAGGGCCTGGTACTAGAAGAAATCTGGGGGATGGTGTCTGGCATGGGGCAGGGCCCAAGCTCTGGAAAGGAGCCGAAGGCAGAGGTGAGCTGTGAGCTCTGGGAGGGCACCTGGGTAGAATGGGGGTCAGGCTGGGAGCAGGACCTGGGTTCTGGAAGAGAAGCAAGAGGCGGGACCTGGGCTGGGAGTAGGGACCGGTCCTAGGCTGTAGAAGAGACAGCAAGCCAAGGTTAGGGAGAGGGGGGCGAGGTCTTAGTTCTAAGGGGAGGGAAGGGGCGGGGCTTGGGCCCAGCAGAAGCCTGGGCCCATCCTGAATCCTATCAAGTGGGGGCGGCCCACATCTAGCAGCGAGGCCCATCCTCTGCCCGGACTGGGCAGTGGGGCTCGCTTACAGACTCGGACTGCAGGGCCCTTGGCGAAGTCGGCGAAGGATATATGTGGAGCAGTTTGGCCGCCAGCTGAGAGGAAGGGATGTACCAGGGGTGCATCATAAGGAACATGCGCACCAGCTGCGGGTCCCGCACCTTCCCGGAGTCATCTAACTCCGAGGGGCCAAAGAGAAGCGGGTTGACACTTCGTCCCGCGGTCCCTACAGGTCCCTACCCTGCAGCCTGCTGGATGTGGCTCCCAGCCGCCTCCTGCTTTCCCAGGGCTCCGAAACCAGGAGGCGCATTATAAAGAAAAAGTGGGGTGGAAGGGGAATAAAGGCAGGATCCGAGGAACCGAGGGATAGGAGCAGTCTGGGTCGGGCCTGAGTCCGGAGGGGAACCAGCTGGGGCGGAAGGAGCCTGGGTTCCCCGGGGTTAAGAATCCAGAGGTCATTTCCTGAGTGCTTAGGGAAGGGGCACCCCTTCACCACCCCACCACATCAGCCGGAAACAGCTCCCAGACCGAGATAGCGAGTTCCTCCGGATCCCCCGGGGAGACAGATAATTCTGTTAGAGAGTCCGGGGACCCCGCCATCCCTCCCTTCAAAGCCGGCATACTAGGGAAGGGAAACATTTTCTCTTTCTGCAGCATGTGGACCTCTCCACCCTGCGATGAAGGGGAGATTTTCGCTAAAGAGGCGGCAGGATGCAGGCTGGGTGGGTCCAGGGTCGAGATCTGCCCAGGGAGGCAGGGGTCCCGGCTCAGGCTGGGTGTGTCCTCCCGTGCCACTCACCAAAGGCTTCGATGCATCCACGGAGCAGCTCCTCCACCGTGCAGCCCTTGTCCAGGTCCAGGGTGCCCGCCATGGCCGCCGGCGCGGGTAGGCTCGGCCGAGCTGCGCTCCGGGAGCCTCCCACGGGGCTCGGACCGGACCCCTGTCCCGGGAGAGAGGCAGAGCCGGAGTCGGCGCCGGCCAGCGGAGCGGCCCCGAGGGCAGAAACGGGGCGGGGCGGGAACGCCCCCTGCTGGGCAGGGGCGGAGTCGTTCCCCCGCGACCACGCCCCGGGGTTAAACGGTCTGGCCCGGGATGGTGCAACCCACCAGTTGGGAAATGAACTGGCCAAGAAGCTTCCGGCCCACCCTGGGAGCCGCGGGAGGGCCGAGGGACTCCCGGGGGATGGTCGGTGTCCCAGTCGCCCTCTCCGTAGGCCCTCTCTTCTCCTCACGTCCTCTCCCCAGAGGCACCTGCAGCACCCCGCAGCTCAGTTCTGCGCCCCCTCCCGCTTCCCTGCCTCCACAGCCTCCCTTCCCCCGCAGGGTTATTTTGGGAACCCAGAGCCTGAGGGGACCTCAGAGGAATTTCTCCCTGGGATGAGAAGGGGGGAGGAACCCAGGCGTCCTGCCCGCGTCGCCCCCTCCCGGGCTCCCAGGAAGAGGAGGCGGGGCTGCGGCAGCCCCCAGGGGCCTGCCCTCGGGGAGGCGGGCTGGGGTGGAGAGGAACATTCCTGGGAGCGGGGGGTGGGGCTGGGGGAAGAGGGGCGGAGCGGGGGAGCCCCCTGCGGCCCGGAGGCTTCAGCGGGAAGCCTGGGCCTGGGAACTGCGCGCTCCGGAGCCACCTCCTCCGTGAAGGCCTCAAGGGTCCCGGCTCAGCCGTTCCGCAGGCCCTCTTCATCCCGTCTCTGACGCAGGCCCCCCATACTGCACAGTCGAACTGGGGGCACACACAGGCCTTCCACACTCGGGCAGAGTGGGGTGCCCCAGAAGGGGGCGCTAGCGCCGTGGAGGGTGGAGTGCCCCGGTTGACTCCACCAGCAACTCCAGTCACTGGAGGGGATTTACGCACCCAGGCAGAGACACACTCACACCACACCCCAGGCCAGGGACCCACATCGGAGTGCAAGAATGCCTGAGGCTCCCAAACAGCAGGGCCTCAGGCAATTACCTCCCATCCTCTCTCTCACTCACCCAATGGCACCCCACAGCCCCGCACACCTGAACGAAGGAACCCGCGGGCACACATACCCAGTCCTCTACCCCAGAAAGCAAAACCGTTGAAGGGGCTGGCTTCCGGCCGTGCTGCTCACTAGACCAAACCAGCCTGGAGTTCCGAGGCCACGGCAGCGCTGACATCCGCACACGTGTGCGCACACGCAAGACAGTGCACCTACACGCATGTACACTCTTCCACACATGCACACGCCCGGTGGGTGCGCACACACGCCCACTCCAACCCCCGCCCCCTTCATCTGCGATCCAGGGCCAGCCCTGCGGCCCCAACGACCTGACAGCCCTCGCCCTGGGACACTGGCAAAGCCTTGCCCCACATAAGGTCCCCCGCCCATACGATACTCCCCCGGGCAGGGAGCGGGGGAGGGGGGCTTCTCTATGGAGTTCTCTGGTAGACTTTTCCTAGGAGCCACCCAGAGGCATCTCGCCCGGCTCGGCCGCTTCCTCCCTATGTGACCTTGAGAGTTACTCGGCCTCTCGGAGCCTCGGTTTTCTCATCTGTCAAATGGGGGGCTCGCCGAGGAAGGTCCCGCTGAGACGTGGCTAGTGAGACCCGGGTGCGCCGCGGACGCCGCCCCCTCCCGCCGTTGTCCAGGGGGCTTTGGATCTCTCGGTAGGTCCCTCCCACCCCCGACCCGGGCTACAAACTCCCCACCGACCAACTCACCCGCCGCCCCCAGCCCGTCTGCGCCTCCCTGGGGGCCCCTATGGGCCGGGCCTCCTCTGCCCCGCGCCCCGCCCGCGCTCGCTCACTCACACTTGGGACCCCGCGGCAAGGAGCTCGCACCCGGCCCGGCAGGCGCCACCTCCGTGCGCTCCCGCCCGCCGACCTCTCTGCGGCTGCGGCTCCCGCCAGCTCTCCGCGCCGCGGCCGGGCTCCCCGCCGCCCCGCCCCCGCGCAGCGGCCGCCCCCTCCCCTCTCCTCCCCGCCCCTGCGCCGGGCTCCGCACCGCCGGCTGCGCCTCCCCCATCGGGGGCTCCCTCTCGCCCCGCACGCGGCGGTCCCTGCGGCAGCTTAACCCCTCCCCTGCCGCGCCGCCCGGGAGGCCAGGGCCGCGGGCGCGGGGGGGCTGCGCCACGAGCCGCGCCAAGGGTGGGAGAGCGGAGGTCAGGCCGCGCGGGACGCGGAGGGGGAAACTAAACCAGGGGTCCTCTCTCCCCACCCCAGACACCCCCATGCCCCCCGCCCTGCCTGGTGTTGGGCAGAGGAAGCCGGGAGGGGCAGGAAGCGGACTGCGGTGGGGAAGGGGCGCCCCGCCCAGCCCCCGGCCCGGGTTCCTGTTTTCGAGACAAACCGTTCCCACGGGGCTCACCCGGCCCGGGGCCGGGCGTCTTCCTGCGGGCAGCGGGAGGCCTGGCAGAGATGGGGGCGTGGGCGCAGCGGGTCGTTGTGATAGCCTGGGGGAGGGGCTAGGACAAGGTGGGAGCATTTGAGAGGTGTTTGTGGGGAAGAATGAAAACGCGGCTAGCGGGAGAAGGGGCCTCGGCGTCTGGGGATGTTGGGGGGAGCTCCAGTTCACACCGGAGGGACTGGGGCTCCGGAAGCCTGGCTCCCCATGGGGCCAGATGAAAAGGGGCAGCTGCAAGCGACGGTGAGCTCTTGCAGCTAGAAGACTGGAGCCCGGAGGCCTGGCTCCAGAGAAGCACATGGGAGGGGTAGCCGCAGGCGGTTGGGGTCCCCACAATCCGGGCAGAGGGGAGCCGGTAACCATTTCCGGCCGTTCAGGTTCAAACACTCGCTGTAAAACCACCGGCCCCAAACAAATCTCTGAGACTTGCCCCGCCCTGCTACCGCGCTGGGGAGGCGGGACCTCTCCCACAACTCAATCTTGGTAATATGGGACCTAGAAACAGGCCCTTTCGGGTCCTTAGTTTCCCCAAGTGAGGAGGGGCAACGTTGGCGCAGCCTAGACGGCCCCCGCCTGAACACTCCCCTTACTTTGGACCTAGCGTAGCCACCTGCTTAGAGACCCTTAAACGCCGCAGTGGGGCGGGGCTAAGGGCGGAGTCAAGAAGGCGCCAACCACCCGAGGGCTCCTCCCCCTCTTGAGCCCCGCCCCCCGACAGCGTGGATCTTCCTTCGGCGGTGCGGGAGGCCTCAGCCTAAGGCCCCGCTCCCATCCCGGGTGGGCCCCACCCGGGCGGACGCCACGCCCCCGGCCAGCCTCGCGGGCCGCTGACCTAGTATGGACACAGCACTGGGAGGAGAGGCGTGCAGGGTGACGCCTGGAAGCCGGCAGGAGAGTCCCGGGCCCCACCCCCACAGGCCGCCCCCCTTTTGAGGGGATGCACCTGCCGCGGCTGGGGCTAAAGCACGGTGATTGCGCAGCTGCTGTGCCGCCCAGAGCTAAAAATATTTCCCAGCAGAGAGGGGAGTAAGGAGGCTCCCCAGGAGAATCAATTTATTGGGGAGTGGGTGCAGTTGGTCAGACCCGTAAACAGGAGGGGCTGGGGAGCCCGAGGACAGGATGGGAGCAGTGTCCTTCGTCACGCTGAACACTGGGCGCTCTAGGCTGATGGGAAATGGGAGTTCCAAGAAGAGGGTTAGAGATCTAACTCCAGCACCCCACCCTCTGGACAAGGAGCTGGAGCTGGCCCAAGCGACTGCAAACAGACTCAGGGGCAGGTTTGGGTCTGGTCTAGAGGCTCAGATCTTCTCATCTGGGGCCGGCATGCGCTGGCGGGTCGGCTCCACGCCCCAGATCTCCCTGGCGTACTGGGCAATGGTGCGGTCACTGGAGAACTTGCCAGAGGTAGCTATGTTCCGGATCACCATCCGCGTCCATTCTCTCGGGTTCTAGAGGCCACAAGGAAGTTCTGGGTTTGCTCTGCAGGTGGGATCCCCACCTTCCACCTCATCCCAACCAGGGCCACCAAAGCCCTGCCAACCCCTGGCCCAGGACCCCTCACCTTGTACAGGGCACTGACTCTCTCCTGGCATTTAATGTACTCTTCATAATCCGCAAAGACTTTAAACCTGGAGGGGAATGGAGAAGTGGGGAAGTCTGGGGTCGAGGGCCAAGCCTATCCTGTCCTATTGGATTCCTGGGGACTTGGACAGTGATGCTACTTCCAAAGGAATGTGGCTGCAACTGCCCCAAAGCCCTGTCCAGCCTCTCCACCGCTCCTGAGCCCTATTCAGCCCCACAACCCCACATGTGCGGGTCCCTGGCCCGCCAGCTCACCGGTCATGGTGCATGAGCATGTTGACAATGTCCTTGAATAGGTCAGGCTGTTTGGGGGAGAAGAAGCCACTGCTCAGTTGGTCAATGACGTGCCGAAGCTCAGGAATTCGGTCATAATACTCCTGGGCATTGTACCTGTGGGGGAAGAGCCATAGTCGGCACCATGGAAAGGGGTTCCTGGCTCCTCCTCCAGCAAATATCCAGGAAGTTCCAAGCCCCAGAGTGAAAACTCAGGTCCAGCCTACTACTGTCCTCCCTACAGCTGCCGCACTTGCTCCAGAAGTCCTTCCACGCTTCTTCCCACACACCACCACTGTCTCCCAGCAGGTCTGTTTCCTCCATAAATGGCTTTTCTTCCCCACCATCCTGAGTCCATCCCTGGCCTCACTTTCAGGCTCCAGGAGGAGCCAACAGGTACATCCTGAGGAACATCCTTAAACTCAAACTGTCCAGCCACGCTCATCACTGTCCTGGCACCAAATTTCCTCCCCTAGGGTAGGAACTACTTCCTACCCAACGACTTCCTGGGGTAGCACAATCACGCCCCAAGCCACCCAGGTTCAAATCTCTCCAGACCAGTTTCATCTCCTTCCCTCCCCTCTTCCAACCAGAAACCATGGCCTCCTCCTCAACAGGGTCCCTAACCCCCGTCCCCAGCACTGGCCTGCTGTAGGGGACTCCCCCTGCCATCTGGTGCCAGCCCCACACTGGTCCCCCAACTGGACATTCCTTCCTCCAGTCGAGCCTCCATCCTGCAGCCAAAAGTGTCTGTTTGGAGTCTAGTTCTGAACATGCTGGACTTTGCTCAAAACATTTCACATTTCCCTCTTGTCCAAAGGACCAAGTCTGAACTTTCTAATCAAGCCCCACAGGAGAAATTCTTCTTAATATTTAGTGCCCGCTCTTGTAAGCTGAGTGTAAACTGGTACCAACTTTCTGGGAAACAATTTGACAATGTGTATCAGGAGCTTTAAGAACGCATACTTTTTTGACTTAGAAATATCCCCTTCTAATAATTATCTTGGGCTTCCCCAGTGACTCAGCAGTTAAGAATCTGTGTGCAGTGAGGGAGACACAGGAGACAATGGTTTGATCCTTGAGTCGGGAAGGACCCCTGGAGAAGGGCATGGCAACTCACTCTAGTATTCTTGCCTAGAGAACTCCATGGACAGAGGAACCTGGCAGGCTACAGTCTATAGGGTCACAAGAGTCGGATGTGACTGAAGCGACTTAGCACATAGCAAGCACAATAATTATCTTAAGGAAATAATCAGAGATGTGGACATCAGTGTAAAAGATTGGTCATCAAAGGGACATTTATACTAACAAATGAGGAAAATCAACCTTCATGTCCAACCACATGGAATTAGTTAAATAAGTATGGTATATCCATAGGATGGAATGCTATACAAACATTTAAAATATTTGAAAGACTATGACAAAGAAAATGCTTCACCAATGTTAAGATAACAGGATTCAATATTGTACATACATTATTTCCAACTTTTAAAAACTACATAGGGACTTCCCTGGTGATCCAGTGGTTGACTCCATGCTCCCAATGCAGGGGAGACTGGTTCTACCCTGGTCAGGGAACTAAGATCCCACATGCAGCATGGTGAAGCCAAAAAATTAATTAAATTTTTAAAAAACCATATATATATATATATATATATATATATATATATACACACACACACACATATAAATACACGAAGAAAAAGAAAACTGTGACTTTAAATCTGGGGGATGAGATTATGAACAAGAGTTGTTTTCTTCTCTGTAGCTTTGTATTTTTCCAATTAATGAGCATGGACTGCTTCTATGCTAAGAAAAAAAAATCATATTTTAAAGTAAAATGTTAAAAATGTAATGCCAGGAAGATCATCTCTGAAGATCTGCATTTCTGACCACAAGCCCAGGTATAACTACTATACTCATGTTTCCCTTTTTGCCATGGCTGCCAGGGAGCTGAGAATTTCATTTTACTCTCAATTCCAGAAATTATATTATTAATTTGGGTGGGTATTATTTTCTCTTCCTTTTCCTTCAGCTCTGTGTTACTTCTGTCTTTTCTCATTTCATTCATCTTATTTGTTATGCTATCTCAAAAGTTTTCTAGACTTGTGATGGCCATAACTAAGACCTTG